CAAGTGCACGATCCGTAATGTTGATACACTGAGAAAGTTTGGAGCACCATACGCATCGAAGTTCAAAACTGAACTGAGAGATTCTTGCCTGGAAAATTCGTCGCAGAACAATAATGTTTTTCTACCGCCCGAGTGCAATTCATATCGGCGCCAAGAGTTGGGGGAAACCCAAAACTGTCTGACTCTGACAGAAAATTATGATAGCAGGTCAAAAGTAATAAAGCAATGTACTTGTTTCTGAGTTTAGAGTTTTTGTCGGCTCGACTCTAGTGCTTGGTAGATGGGTTGACTAACACAGGCCGACAAAAAATTTTACCAAGAACCCGAGTATAGTTTTCCGAAGGTTTTTTGCGCGTTGAATCCGAATCCGAGGTCAGAATTACTCTGGTGGCTCCGGTTTTCGAGATATCCTAACCTTAAAGTGCAAAAAAACGCGATTTTTGCCTATATTTGAGGTTATGTAGCAAAGAAAAGAAATTTTTTTTCAAAAAACTGTATACATCAAATTAAAGTATGAGTTTTCTTCTTTCAAATGCCGTTGAGTATGCTCGGATATCTTTTTTTTTCACGAAGTTACACAAATTTGAAATAAAAAGCACTTGGCTAACTTGCTCTACCCAGCGTCATGTGGGTGTGCCTGCTTAGGGGTTGGGAGGGCTGGTTTTAAAGGGTTGAGGAGGTATTTGGGGATGAGGCCTATCTAGATCATATTAGTACGCATACCTGTGATTAGAAAATGAGTTTTTTTATTAAAAAGCAGTTAATTAAACTTGCTCTACCCAGGGTTATGTGGGTGAGCCTGTTTAGGGGTTGGCAGGGGTGGTTTCTACCCGTAAGAGAGCATTTTGTAAATAGAAGCACGATGCTCACAATATTTTTTAGTGTTTTGTCATATTTCCAAGTTTGGTTTAAATTGATGAGTGGCTCTTTAATATGGTTACTTGTTAGATAGCTTGGGCTGAATGATGTGGTGCTTTTTAAATTCATAAAATTTGAAATTTTCAAATTTGTGTAACTTCGTGAAAAAAAAAGATATCCGAACATACTCAACGGCATTTGAAAGAAGAAAACTCATACTTTAATTTGATGTATACAGTTTTTTGAAAAAAAATTTCTTTTCTTTGCTACATAACCTCAAATATAGGCAAAAATCGCGTTTTTTGCACCTTAAGGTTAGGATATCTCGAAAACCGGAGCCACCAGAGTAATTCTGACCTCGGATTCGGATTCAGCGCGCAAAAAACCTTCGGAAAACTATACTCGGGTTCTTGGTAAAATATTTTTGTCAAATTCTGTCGGCCTATGTAATTATCGGATTTTTGAGATTCAAACTTGCCCAGATTTCTCTAAACACGGGCTATCCGATAAAATTGATAAAAATACCGATTTGCAAATATCGGCGAAATTTGTTAAACTAACTAGGGCCATAAAAAAAGGTCAGTAGCGCGTGGCTACCTGCCCCCTCGCAAGCGAGGAAGACGCTCGGCACTTTCCTACCTGGCTGTCGATAAAGTCAATCGACCCACAAGTTACAAAATAACTATTTTTAAGAACAATATGAACAAATTTAAGCCAAGTACAAACAACTAGGCAAGAAGAAAGGTCCATTTCAGTTTTCGAACGATAAAAATCAGCCGACTTGAAGGGGAATCCACCCGTAGCTGGCTGCTACGCCACACAGTGGTATTTTTCAGACTTTTTTTTTTTTAAACCTCATGGATATCGCAATTTTCAATGGATTTTGATAATTTTTTTTTAAAGTACTCGGAAATAGTTATACTTGCTGACACTAGGTCGCCTAAGTGATATCGATTGAACTCTTATCTCTGTTATCAAGCAAAGTCAATATACCTATAATTCCGACAAAAAATATTTTTTCAGGTCATATTTATTTTTGCATTAATGATGTTTAGACTGAGGATCAAGGATTCACTTAATTTATAATCGATGATATTTCTTATCAGCTTATCAATCAATTAATTTAATTACTCTGATTTTTTTTTCTCCACTGAAGGCCCTTTTACCGTAAAAAAATACAACCATTAACGAGAATATAGAATAAAAATTATCAATTTATGATAGTATGATAGTTTTAATCAATCAAAGATAATTAAAAATGGCGTCCATCTTTACTTACAAAAAAATTGTTAGACAAGCATACCTTGACTGCTGATTTTATTGATGCTAAAGTATTATATATACTTTTCAAATATATTCAATGATTTCCTTATCTGCTTATCAATTAATCGATTTCGATTAAAACAATTCCAATTAATTCACAAACTCAAAGACTCACGACATTGTACTCTTTTCCAAGGTTATTGACCCTGCTGCATACGATTTTACTATCGTTTGCCCCCTTCGATTATTTAAAAATTATATATCAAACATATACGCAAAAAATAAGTAATTATTTGTTAATAAAATAGAATTGGCATGATATTATACTCATTTTCACTTGATACTCAGTCTAAACACCATTGATGCAAAAAAAATATGACCTGAAAAAATATTTTTTGTCGGAATTATAGGTATATTAACTTTCCTTGATAACAGAGATAAGAGTTCAATCGATATCACTTAGGCGACCTAGTGTCAGCAAGTATAACTATTTCGGAGTACTTAAAAAAAAATTATCAAAATCCATTGTAAATTGCGATATTCATGAGGTTTTTAAAAAAAAAGTCTAAAAAATACCACTGTGCGCCAGTAAGAAAACTGAAATGGACCTTCCTCGGCCTCGCTCTCTTTCCCCCCTTCAAGTACTAAAAATATTCTTTAAAAATGTTCTTTCGAAATGTTTGTACTGTTCGTATACACTTTCGTTTCAGTTATAATTCACAACTACCATCGAACTCTTGATAATTTTTTATTGACAATAAGGGATATATTTGATAATTTTTTAAAAATCACTAAATAATTTAATAAATAATAAAAGAGCTAATATGGAGACATTCAGTTCTAAAAGTTGAAAGCTAAACAAGCTTCCTTTTTTTTAGATTTAACTTTGTTATACATCTTATAATTGTAAACATCAAATAAATATTCATTCCAAAACTAATTGCTACGCTTTGCACATTATTTGTAAGTTCAAAATATATTTACGTATTTACTGATTGCTTTAAAAGAAAATTAAAAAGCATCATATTTTACTAATTATATTTTCAATTTAAAATGTACAGCAAGCAAAAAACTTCAATTTTACAAAATAAAGTAACATTTTCGGGACAACAAAAAAAAAAGTGATGTGCTGAGTTTCGATCCCGTGATCTTGGCAGTGGAAAGCCAAAACGATACCACTTCGGCTGTCGCCTCTAGTACAAGAATAGTGTACAGTAGGAAATATTTAAGCTGTTTACCCCTTGGGGGCTTATGCTTGGGCTCTAGCTACCTGCCGCTTCTCCTGCTTGGACTCGGGCCCTTCCCCTCTTTAGACACTACTTCCCCTACTCGGACTTTACCTCTCCTCCTGGGACCGCATTTCCACCGCTGGCCGCTAGGAACGCCACCGTACCGGCCAGCATATTTCTCGCCGAGCCAGCCCATGCTCTTTGGCGATCTCCCTATTCATCTCTGGTAGGAGCATAGTAATAGTTAGGACAGTAACAGCTTGACCTTGAGAGGATAATTTGGAAACATAGGCATAGAAATAATGGGAAATATAAAGTAACTTGACTTTGGATAGACAGTTTAAATCTTTTAGGCTTTGATAAATAAATGGACTTTCCTCCTGTCCCTTATTTGATAAATAAGACACAGACTAGCGCGCATCGATAAGACAACGATATTGCAGTAATGCTCTACTGCATTTATGTTCCGATCAGCCGCAAAACTATCCATAACCAGTGCGATCTTGGAGAAGCCGCTTCGACTTCTCGCTTCTGAACAGAACCCCGCCTACCGACACATCTTTTTCGACCAGCTAGTCGACCGTCTTTCACCCCTCCCCTTTCCCCCTTTTTATTAATCTCATCGTCGATCGTCTGATAGACTTTTCGCGTCCCCGACCCTCTTGATATTTACAGGTGGTCGACGTAAGCCAAGGGCGAACCGATGAGATAACTGTCGAAGAGCTCGGTAGTTGTCCTCAGCAGCAGTGGCAGCGGCAGCAGCAACAGCAGCAGCCATCAAGCAATCAGTCAGCTGCCCCAGCTCTCCGTGCACGTGCGTATAATCGAACCAGTCAAGTTTAGCGGCGCTACTTGTCCTCCTAACGCTAGGACGGTAGCTGGCGTCAAATGCATCCACACGTGTATAAATAAAAGCTGCTTCCAACTTTGACAGATTCTTGATTTGGTGTGTGCGCCACTCACTGGCATCGACGGTGGACGAAGCCGAGAAAATCCCTATAATTATTTTCTCGTCTCCTCCCCCCGTCACAGGTAGAGATAGAAGAGTACATATAGAAATTTTTTCACTATTTTTTACATTTTTAGCGTATAAAACTACATACGAAAACCTTCTAAAATTTTAGTTTACATAAGAAATAAAATTTGACCTATTTTAAAGGTCAAAGGACTCTGCGGGAATATTTTTACTATTTTTTTATGTTCACTGCATGAAATTATATATAAATGTCCTCTCATACCTTCATGACAAATGAGACCAATTTTATATATTCCAATTTACGCTACCTGCAGAAGTAGTCGATATACCAACCAGCAGTGAGGTCGGCCAATCTACTTGAGATATCTAGTGATTTTATATACACATTTTCATTTTACAAGAAATTAATTAATACTAAATTTTTTCCACAGCTTAAAAATTAAGCCTAAGACTTCTGCTCCCCACTCTAATAGTATAGTTAAAGATACTTTCGAGTACTTAAGATTTCTCAATCCCAATATCATGATCACATAAAACATGGTGTTATAAATTATAGGATACGAAATATATTGTTGTACATGGCAGTGTTAATTTTTTATAATAGTTAAATGATATCTATTAAAAAATTAACATGTATGTATATGCGTAGTTTTCAATTTACATAATAATTTCAGATATGTTTTGGTATCTGCATTAAGAGAAATGAATGGAACAGAAAGTATCACAGAAGCTCCTCAAGATTGTGATAATTCTGGCATGATTTGGGAAAGTGGAAAAAAATTATTTGAGTAAGTACAAATTATTCGCGTCAAATACTTATCTAAATAAAATTATTTTGTTTTACATCGTACTGCTTATTGATAGAGATAATAAAAATGAAGATATGATTTAAATAATAGACATTTACAGCAGATGTTCCATTAAAAAAAGGGGTGGTTTTCAGCCGTATGTACTTTATTCTAATCCTTGAGGTTAGACTGATAATTTTCTGCTAAATATCAATCAATTTATCGTACGCTATATAAAATTTAATACAAAATGTTGTTTGTGTATAAACGATTTTAACAATTGTGATTATGCAATTTCTCACTAACGTATGATTGTTATATTATTGAAATTGTCCAGTAGAAAATTACTTTTAGATTCTTAAGAGTCTAATAAATTGTACTGGAACACAAAAATTGCTGAATCAGAGGTGCAACAAATATATTTCTTTATATTTTGATCAAAAACAGTAGAATCATGTTCTTGTTTCATGAATTTTACGGTACCTGCTAAATTTACCAGCCAATCATGAATATGAAATATATTTTGTACGTGAATTTTAAGCCATCAAGTTCAAATCAAGCAGCATATTTCACCTAATACTCTTTTTTTTTTTTTTTAAATTGTTAAAAGTGACTACTAAAATTGAAAAATATCAATTTTTATCGATTTTATGCTACTTACGTGCTTTAGCGACATTCTAAAGATAAATTAAAGCCCAACGTTTATAACATAAAAATAGAGACTATTCGGTGATAGGTAAAATACAGTGACCCTCAATAAAATAAAATTTGTATTATAATTACAAACCAAAACAAAAAAGAGAAAATTACAAAAAAAAACATTCTCATATAAAATATAATAATGGATTAGTCGGCATTAAGGCGGTGATACTAATCCGCCCAATCACATTGACAGGAATACCTGCAATTTATTTGGTAATTCATTCACTCTTAGCCCGATGAATGTACGAACGAGTAATACAACTGATGCGAAAGTCTGTAGGACTGCTTGGTTACACACATGTGAACGCGACATTTAAGCATGTAAAACAAGAGGTAACAGAGAGAGAAATATAGACACCGATTTCGCGACTCCGCAACTACCTCCTGGTTGCTATTTCTCGTATTGCTATCGCTAACGTCACTACTGATATCACTGCTGCTGCCGCCAGCTAATGCTCTTGCCTCTCTTGTCCAATTACTGATCGTCATCACTTTTTGTGCAGAGAAAACGTCGCGGGCGCGCCATTCGCACAGATCTTCGTTGGGATCTTCACACGCTCTGGTGCCGAGTTTTAACGCTGGTTTGGCGCGATTAAAACTGTTTTTCCACAGAGTTAACGGCTAGACATATGCATTAGAAATTTCTTAGTGTCGATTAGGCTGTAATTGCTTTTGAACGCTAATAAACAAAAAATAACTCTCTAAAAGCGAGAAAAAAAAAATGTTGTCTAGACGTAACACCTCCATCCAGTGGAAAAAGTATGAATCTTAAGGAAGAGGATTTAACTTTTAGAATCTAGAGACTGAACAGATCATTTAAGATTTTCCAGGAAACTTTGAGCTTCCTCGAATAAAAGTATACAGCAGGTAAAACGGACAGCAAGGAGTCGGAAGTTTTTATTATTGGTGCCATAAATCTAAATTGTTTTAATATAGTGATGGATAACTTGTGGTATGTATAGTACGGATGACTTGTGATCCTTGTCGGGTAGTGTAATACCTTACTTTTTGACGGTGTAATAGTGAAAAGGTCTTCTCTATGCACGCTTGACTCAGCGACTCTTCGGTACTAGCTCGAGGCTTGGGTTTAGCTTTGGATAGGTAGATAAGGAAATGGGCTAGAGATGACCAAATAGTTGTAAGAAGGTGAATGCTCCAATCATAGATATGGTAGAAGGATACCTGTGTATGATTGTATCCATCATTGCTTTGATGGATTAAACAATCATGAATGTCATAATGAAGCTTAATGCTATGGTATCAAACTTTATGAATCCATCCCAAAATTTGGTATAGGTTGAAATGGACGTCACTTTTATTGCTTAAAATTTAATTAATTTTTAATTTTTGCTGAGTCAGCTGGAACTGATTGATTCGAAAGTCTTCAGGCCACATTTTCCAACAGTGCCGGTCATTCTATTAAGAAGTTAGAGTGTTGATGTATTTGTTCGAGTTTTTTGAAGAGTAAATTTCGTCTTTGACATGACAAAAAAATGAAAAAATATATGTACATGTTCCGAAAGAGACTGTGATGTTATTTTAAGACGTCTAAAGATTATTTCAAGTTCATTTTAAAATTATTCCAAGGTCAAATTAATGATTATTTGAAAGTTAAACTGAAAAGATTTTATACGTACGTTCTTGACACTAATGGATTCCTTCTTATGTCATCCTGAAAGTTCACTCAAAAGAAAATTTTAAAGTCACAGAGGTTTTCATTGTTTGAAGTCATATTACGCATACATTTACTTTTGCATATTTCTGCAGTACATTCATAAATTTAGTAGTAGTATCTTAATTGTATAATGTGTTACATAATTTAGTAATAGATAAATATGTGATTGCACCGAAGGTAGCTCAACGTAGTGACGGTGTGCAACGGAGTTGTCCCACTATCCGGCAAAATTTTTGAGTCATAGCGTTTATGTTGTCATGTTAACTACACTTGATTGTATTACGAGACAGAGGGTTAAATTTTCAGAATCGGCGGCTGGTCAGGTAGGTAAGCGGATACGCATCATCATCAACCGATCGTAGCTCTACATTGGTGGGGAACTTGGCTTTTGCAGAGTAAAATGCTACAAGCCATTCTTCACCTTGTATGAACATCGTCATGAATTTCTGCGTTATTTGTAGAAAATATCTTCCTCAAGTTAAAAATATTACATTTTCAGATTTATTAAAAGTTCGATATAAAGTCGAGATTAACACGCTCGACAATATTTGAACTCATAAATCAATATGTTCTACATGGCAAAATTTCCTTAATAAATCAAGTAAACTGATATTCTTGAAACCAATCTTATGGAGTGAACCAACAAATCATACTTCTGATTGTTACTTTTACCTGATAAATGTGAAAGGCTATAGCCGTGCTAATAAAGATCTAATTTCCTACACGTGTGTTAAATCTGTTTCTTTTTCGGTTTTCATTAAAACCAAGACCAACGAGAAAAATTATAGATGCACGTGAAGATTCTTCCATTGATTAATCATTAGCAGACAGTATAATCGTCGATGTAAAATACTAGATAAACAATCAAGTACTTCAGAAGATGAAGAAAGTGCTGCTTCTATTGTAGAAGAATCAGACGTTAAGGTAATGAAAAAATTCAGAAAACATAAACCAAAATGACCTGAGTGACTTAAGCTGAGACTTATGCAGAGACTTGGGTCTCTGAAAAGAAAATTCTGAACTTCTTAGCATCCAGACTGAAAACGAAACCATTTTTAGTTCCATGAACATGAGTGTCATACTATCGTTCAAGAGAACAACTCTTCCGAAAGTATTTCTCGGGAATGTCTAATTTAGTTTATTGCAATAACATCGAAGATTTATTCACAGAATAACAAATAGAACATAGAGCTGGTGACTGATGTTTGGTTATAGAACTTATGAAACCGAAAAGAAACTTAAAAGTAATCTTGATTCATAATACAAATATTTACACTGCTTGTGACGGTAAACGTCAAACTAGCGCTAATTTTCTAACCTAATTGCTGTCTGCGGGGCGCAGCACTTGCCGGGAGACGAAAAATGTAACGACGGAATTCGGCACACGAGCAGACGGAACGCGCGCTATTGAAAATGAACCAGTGAGGGACTAACCATCATCACGTTCGCCCGTGATTACGACGCCAGCTACCGATATGCGAGCCGCCAAGACCGAAATCTACAATAAAAGTGTCCGAACAAGAGCCGAATACCAGTGACCGCTGTTACCGAGTTGTCCGGAGTGCTGACCTGAGCCAGTAAAAGCGGTGCCATTGCCTGTGGAGCCGAACGTCGGCGAGCGAGGTGTTTCGCCATCGAGGGCCAAACCACGGGTGTGCGCGTTCGCTACCCGCGAGTAACGAAAAACAGACTTTTCCCGCACTGAGCGTGTGAATCATACTTCTCGACTCCGTACGTCTGCTAAATAAAGGTAAGCTGACCAGCTTAATTTTGCGGTCGCGATTCAATTGTTACTCAACTAATCACTCGAAGCGAAACGTGCATGTAATAACTCTACGGACAAAGAGCAGCGAGCGTTCCGACACTGCATGTTATTGTCGAGCGAGCGCCGATGTAAACATAAACACGCGAGCCGATTCTAATGTAGCATTTGAAAGATAATAAAAGTTTTCGTACATGATATTTACAGTAATTTCGGAGTGTTCTTTTCGTATTTGTAGTTAGTTGGTTGACTGACACCTGTTTCCCCTTGCTCTCCGACTCCCGTATTAAACATAGATAATTACGAGCGCTCTTCAATACGATCGCGCGAATATAAAATAATTAAACGGTAAGTCACCCCGTCACATGCTTTACCAGTTGTCCATTCTATTATACTAAATGAAGAGTACCATAACTTTAAGTTGATGTTACAACAATTAAAATATAAGTCATGTGAGGCTAATTTGCGGATACTTGAAAATATTTACAATTTTTTTAGGACAATAATCGCAATTCAGTTCGTATCCATTTTTCATTTGAATGAAATAGCCGGACGATCATTATATTAAAAAGAAAACTGACCGTTGTGGAAAAGATTAATTCTAGGCGAAAAAAAAATCATTTGTTAAAGTCTGATACCAACAGGTAAAGCTTTTTTAATACAATTATATATTAAACTTAGGCTAGCAAAGCAATTTGTTGAAGCAATGAGTCTATATAAAAGAGCTACCTTTATTAATATTTTTAAAAGCTTTCCTGAATTTTCTGAAATAAAAATAAATAAAGTTGTCATTGCAGATATAAAGAAACTTCTGTAAAATGAAGAATTTGAAAGGTGAATAAATAAAAAGAAGAAAGCAGC